ACAGATGCAGGGCTACATGACAGGGTAGCATGCCTAACAGGTTAGCAGCGAATTCTATGGAGAAAAACAAAGCTGGAGGAGGCAGAAGGGATATGGAGTGAGGCTTAGGGATTCAAAAATGAGATAAGCAGAAGTTGCTGAAAGGCTGACGTTTGGGTGCAATTCTGATGGGAGAAGGGAAGGAACAATACGGCTGTCTGTAGAAAGGGTGGATCAGGCAGAGGCCAGAGCAGAGATGAATGCCTGGAGGGGAGGACAGCCTGGCCTTTCCCAAAAGCAGAAAGGAGGCTGAAGGGTCCAGTGACGGTGAGAGGGCGGAGCCAAAGTTGGAGGTACTGGACCAGGCTGTGTGAGGCCTTGTGCATCTCGCCAAGGAAGTTGTCTCTTCCCTGAATGAGAGAACCACCCATCGGAGGGCTTTCAGGAGAGCGTGGGGCTTGGGGTTACCAGGCTCCCGGTGGCTGCTGTGGGGAGAATGGTTCCGTGGACTCCTCCTGCCCCTGTGGGTGTGAGAGGGCTCCTGCCCTAGGATCAGGGGCATGGCTGAACACATGCACCTGTCACTGGACAGAGGAGACGGTCAGCAGCTTGGTAGGCACACAGACTCAGCCCGGGGGAGGAGGACCCCATGCCACGCAGGGCCACGTGGGTCTGCACTCAGGGGCAGGGTGAACAGCAGAGCCAGGGAGGTGTGTAGCCACAAGGCAGGGTGGTGCCCCTGGCACTTACAGAAGGATGTGATTGTCTTGCAGGAATATCTCTGGGGGTGAGTAGGACACCGAAGGTCACAACTCAGGGATAGGAAGGCACCGTGCCTGGTCCCCACAGTGAGGACAGTTGTTTGACGTGGGGCTTGATCTGCGGGTGCACAGCAGGGTGAGGAAGCTGTGGTTAGGCCACTTTGCCTCTCGGTTAACCAGCTGCCTGAAGCCTCTAGGGGAGGTGGAGGTGCTGTGGAACACCTTCTTCAAGAGTCTGGCATTGTGGGTTCCGAGAAGTGCAATGAATGTCCGAATTCCCACAGGAAATGAGCTGTTCTGGTGAGGCCATGCTCTGTGGTCTCAGTATAAATAGAGGCACATAGTACCTTGATTTCTACTTGGGGTATCTGTGAGGTGAGAGATTCCAGAATTCTTTATCCCAAAGGGGACAATTCTTGGGCAATGGCCCCAGAGCTTGTAAAAATGTGCAGGTGGGGCCAATCGTTGGCCAGGATGAACCGTGCTAACAGGCTGCCTGAGTATGGCCAATTGGGCTGACTCTGGGGTTCCATCCTTATCGGGGACATCCTGGCTGAGTGACAGAAAGCAGGAATATCCCGCTGAGCTCCATCATGTGCAATGGCGATGATAACACCCATAAATTGTACGAATGCCCATTGATGTTTATACCATTGATTCTAGGGGCTCTGGGGCGGGGGTGACCCTCCTCCAGCATCCTGACATCTGGCAAGGGGCTGAGGACAGGGAAGGCCACCTCATCCTCCCAGATGGAATATGCCAGAGGGTCTAGGTTTGACTCTATCCTGTCTCGGGAAGGCCTCGGTGGCTGTCACAAGCTTGAGGGGTGCTGCCTCCATGACCAAAAGCATCCTGGGCAGCTGGGTGTGGAGATCACAGGTACACAGGCGGGGATCGCCTCTCTTTCCAGGTGAGTCCAAGATGTGGCCAGCAGTTGCCACCCTGATGGTGTTTGGAGCAGAGGCAAAGCCAGCAACTTCTCTTATCAGAAGCCCATGGGAAACTCTGGCCATCTACGTGGTCCAGAGACTCGGGGAGGCATGAGAGGAAGGTGCCAAAGCCTCCACAGTTGGAGTCTCCAAGGGTACTCATGGGAGTGCCTGCCGAGTGCCAATTTCAATCCAGACAGATTCTAGAGCCTTTGGTTACAAGGGTCACCATTCAGATTGGGCTGATTTGCAATGAGCAGCATCGTGAGATTAACTGAGATTCGTAAATTAGAAATATGTTGCTTCCGGATCACAGAAAGGCCTAGAAGATGCTGGGCTTGTTTAAACACTGTCAGGGGTGGAGTGGCCCTCAGCTCACCACATATTGTTCAGGACAGCCAAGTGGGCTTTTCGCTGTGCCATGCACAGGCAACGACCTGTCCCCTTGGGTGTGACCTGTGTGAATGTCTATGTCCCGAATGAACATGTCAGGTGAATCCCCTCAGAGGAGAAGGTCATCAGTGTGACACTCCTGTATGGATCTTGCCTACAAAGGTTTTGTGTGATGGAAAAACTGCTGATGTAGCTATGAGCGCAGAAAATGGTCATTGTGTCCTTTCAGAGGTGAAGGCAAACTGCCACTGAGAGGATGTTGAACTAGGCCCTGAACAAAACATAGGAGCCAACTCTCTAACAGCAAAACAGCGACCAGTTTCTGATTGGATGGAGCCGATTATTTCAATATTATCGGGCATAGGGACTTAATGAATGGGTCCCAAGCACGTGGGTTGTGATCATCCATCATGAGGTACCATTTGTTCCTTCCAGACATCGTGGAATAGGCCACAATGCGCCGTTAAGTGGAAAGCAATGGGAATAATCACACATCTCTAAATAGTTCTTATGTAATGGCTTTCAATCCCTGAAGGTGGCGTTTTAATTTATTTTTGGACTTCTGAACTGTGTTAAAGTCTATGGCAGTCCATTTTCTCAAGCCAATTTGTAAGTACCAGAAAATTAATTTGGTTTTATCACTCATTGGGTCAGCACGTCCATGCCCATTATGGGATATTTTAGGGCATTGGGTGCTATGAGCATGGAGATTCAGGCTGGCCAATGGTTTCTGTGTATGAATGAAGAGTACTTACTTGTCCTCTATTTTATGTCAGGAATTCCCCTGTGATTGTAGGAGGAACTTTGTTTAAATTTAGTAGGCTCCACAGATAATACTGTGACTTGGGCCCCTGTATTGATCAAGCCCATGAAGGTTTAGCAACTGGTGCATTTCGGGGATGTTAAAGTTAATTCAGAGTATATGCTATAGCGGTGCACAAACCTTTTTAACAATCTTTTTTGGTATGACTATTTTATTACATTTTGGGTTTCCAGTTGCGTCAAATTGTGGACCTCTATTTGTTTTCTTTCTTTCTGTTTGCTTCCTTCCCTACCTGCAGATTTCTTTCTTTCTGTCTTATGTTCTTTCCCTGTCTCCCTCTCACTTTCTCTTTTCGATGGTGGCTATCATCATTGCTACTGCCGTTGGGGCTGGACACACTTCCGGGGGTTCTGGTTTGCTAGACTCTGCTCCTATGTGTACCGTTCTTCTTCCAGAGAGCCTCACACCAGTGTCCTCAGGGTTAAGTTCCCCACCCTAGGGCAACAACTTCTTACAGGGCTTAGACACCCAGGTTTCAACTGAATCCGGACTACCCCCTTCACTGTGCCACTGGGTGTCATGGGTGTGTTTTCCTATAACCTTGAGGATCAAAATCTTTGTTGCACTAGAGGCCCAGGTGGCAGCAGCAGGGAGGTCCCAGGGTCCTGGTGAGCTGTCTCATTAGAAGGGTGGGCCTCAGCAGTTCATCTAACAACTGCCTTCTTCCTCCCCTCCCTTCCCTTTCCTACTACCCGCCCCTCCCCCCCACTCTTTAATCCCTTACAAACTGGACCTTCATGAGCAAACACCCAAGGGTCCCATGTCTCACACAGGCTGTGGCCTTCACCCTGAGCACAGTATATCCATCCAGGGCCAGTGCCAGTTTGAGGCCCACAATTCATCCACCACACGGTGAGGTCTCTCCTCGACTGGCCGCGGCCTCAGCTTCATTCTGGGACAGAGACAGGTTCAGGCTGAGACACACGACCGGGGCTGCTTTAAAGAGGAACTTGTCCACACTCTTGTCCCTCAACACTGACTACAGAAGCTTCCAGCAGATGTCTGCCAAACCTAGAACAGATGCTTCGTAGGACTCAACAATGCAAGAATGGATGGACCCACTGAAGGGAGGGATGGAGGTGAGCAACTTTGGCAGACAAAAGCAAAATTGTTCTGGAGACTTTTTCTTTTCTTTTCTTTCTTTCAAGTCAGAGCCTCACTCCGTCACCCAGGCTGGAGTACAGTGGCACACTTACGGCCACCCCAGCGTCGACCTGCTGGGTTCTGTTGATCCTTCCACCTCAACCTTCCAAGTAGCTGGAACTACAGACACGCGCTACCACTCCCACATCTTTTTGATATGTTGTAGAGATGAGGTCTCACCAAGTTACGCAGGCTGGTCTCGAACCCCTGGGTTCAGGCAGTCCTCTCACCCCTGCCTCTCAAAATGCTGGGATTACAGGCTTGAGCCACCAAGCCCAGCCTGGAGATTTTTTCAGGTCATCTTATAGATGACGTTCAATGATAAACTTGGTGAATAAAGATAAATATTCAGTTCTTCACAGATTTTTTAAAATTATCTTAAAGTTTTTGGCAGAAATTGCATTGTCTTTAATAGTCACAGACACCAAATAATTTCTGCCCCACTGTGTATTTTTCATCTAATTATGGCTTTTAAAAAGAATTTGTACTACCTTAGAAGTGTTTTTATTTATAACTCAAAAGAAAATCAGCCTGTTTTTCTGCAGCTAGTTATAGAAACTACTGCCAACTAATGGCTTGTTAACAAAGGTTACCTTAAAGGACAGCAGACCTAGAGTCAGGAAGCAATCGATCCATATGCATATATAGCACTATTGATTTGTTCACAAAATGATGATGGAACGTACGCTACTGTATGTGTATGTTTGTTCTGTATTTGCATTATATGTCTGCTAAAATACCACATTTAAATTACATTCACGGGGAATTAACTCAACATATTATGTGTACGCTCATATTTCACTACCATAAAAGTTTTCCTTAATGTTTCTGAGAGGAATAAACATATCGCCACAGGGTACAGATGTTTTTGCCCAAGTTTCAAAGATGTATTTATTTTTCTTCCAAATTAAAACAAATATCATGTGGTCTGTGGCAAGTGGTCTTTCTGGCCCACGTGTGAAGGGACGATGGTCACAGTCTCTTGGGTAGGGCTCCTTTCTCTCTGAGAACCCGGAAGGAGTGACGTCGCCTGCTGTTGACTTTTGGGACCATTTGCTTCTGGTGATTATCCGATGCTTCAGGAAATACTAGCTCGTCTCCAGCTATATATTTTTTGAAACAAAATGATAGTGTTAAGTAAAATGAGCGATACGCAAAAGGAAATTTAAACTAAATAGGAGGCCACATTATACCGCTAAGTAAAATTAGTGATACATAAAAGTGACTTTAATCTGAGTGTGGGAAGTAATTTTAAATTGTTAGAATGCCTCACATCTATTATGTTTTAATTGTCAATGAACGGCACAAACATCAGATGGCTTTGTTTAAAAGTTTAGAGTGGATGGTTACGGGAAATTTTGCAAGAATATTAACAGAGCAGTGACAGTTTAATTTTCAATGTGAGCAATACTTAAAAATAAATCTATTGTTACTTGTTCCTATAAAACAACATTGGTGTTTTTCCCACTTGGATTTGTCTTCACATTTCTATGCTAACTTTTTTCTCCTACCAGATTTTTGTAGCTTAGAGATATGAAGATATTCAGTTATGCTGCAGGGCATTAAACAGAAAGCACAAATCTTTCTACAATGAAAACAATAACCATTATTTTAATAACACAACTAGGCGTATCTGAGGCCCACTGCACACTGTCCTTACCTCCACACTGCTGGAGGTAAGGCTCTATCTCGGCTTGCTCGCTCTCCTGATCTTGGGGGAAGTGTCAGCTCTTCTCCAGATCCCTAGAAACTTGGGGCCCACTCTGCTTAGTTCTTAATATCTAGTAGCAAACAAGACCGTCAACTCAAAGCCCTCACAACAGCCTTAGACCCCAAAAGGATGGTTGAATTCTGTCCCCTCAAAAGCTGTTGAAATCAGGTGACATGGAGTCCAAAGGGAGGCCCAAGCTTTACCGGTACAATGACCTTTTGTATACCTAACCCTGAATTGCACCCTACATCTTTAAAATTAAAAATAAATAAATAAAAAGATGTTGAAGTCTTCACTCCCAGTATCTGTGAATGTGACCTTAATTGGAAACAGGGTCTCTGCAGATGGTCTAATTAAGACAGATCATTAGGGTGGGCCCCAACCCAATAGGACCATGTCCTAAAAATTTGGACACCAACACACACAGGGAAAACACCATGTGAACATGAAGGCGTGGGTCATCGATGGCTGCAAACTGCCAGACGCTGGGAGGCATCTAGGCTGGATCTCACTCACACCCTCAGAAGGAGCCAGCCCCTCCCACCCCTGATCTCAGGCTTCTGGCCCCCACAACTGTGATACAATGAATTTCTTCTGTTTGAGTGGCCCAGCCCAGTCTGTGGCACTTTGTTGCAGTGGCCCTGGGAAACCAATGCACTGACCGCTGTGCTAGGCATCCCATCCTATAAACAAAATAAGAGAAAAAGGGAGAAAAGAATTCGTGTGGCTTTTTTTTCACACTGAATCTGCTAGGATCTAAAAACGTATGTGAAGAAATTGAAGGAGGACTGTGGGGTGGACCCTGGTCTGCTTTCGTGGGCGAGGCCGACGGGTGCTAGGCCCCAATCCCATTGGGAAGTGAATGAATTTTCACAATGGGTATTCTAGATGGCAGGCAGTGATTACAGAGGCTTCTGCCCCACCATGCCAAGATAAGTCCCACTGAGAAAGGACCAGAGTGTGCCATGGTCTTATCTCACAACTGTGCCAGCTGCTGAACTCCATCTTGCCCCAAGGACATCGAGGACTATGGGTAAAAAGCACAGACTCCTGGGTGGAAATCTTGTCTCTCATCCATACACTGGCTCCGTGACCTTGGGTCGTCAGCTAGAAAAATGGTTTCTAAAAAGCAGTTCTATGAAGAAGTCATTTCTTACTTGTCATCTTATTTTTGAAATATATTAACCTAATTGTCTCCAGGTGTAAATTTAGGGATCCTTTGCTATTCAAGGGCCGAACCTAAAATCACAAAAAACAAGATTACCATTTCAATAAATACTTTTAAAATTGTTATAGCAATATTTTCATATATATAAAGCATTCATTATTTGGGTATTCTATTCAAAACTCATCCCTCCAAATAGTGCAGTCTCAAAAAAAAAAAAAACAAAGAAAAGAAAAATATCAATCCAGCAGAATGAATGGGGTTACAAACTTATATTAAGTTAAGCATGGTGACACACACCTGTAATCCTAGCCACTCAGGAGGTTAAGGTGGGAGGATCATTTGAGCCCAGGAGTCTGAGATCAGCCTAGGCAACTGGCCTCGTCTCCAAAAAAAAAAAAACTTATGTTGATAACATTTTAAAGCATGAGTTTAAAAATCTGAAATTACTAACTAACTTAAACAGAAATATAGTTAACTTTTAAAATAACTTTTAAAAATTCATTAGTAACTAAAAGGTTAACCTGAACAGACTCATCTGCCTTTTGGATTTATTTAACAAACAGTAAATGAGGCTGGCTGACATTTAGGAAGCAGAAAAAAGAACATTTTATTGTTGTATGTAGTGGGACAGTCCTTACAAAAGCGTTTCCCATTGCTGATATTGCTGAAAAAAAAATCTCACTTATGATTATGAAGACTCTTACATGAACTCCTTGGTGATGGCTTGGGTTATGGGTTCTCTGTGTATCTCTATGTATGTATTTTCTGTAATCTAACTATTCTTAAATCTTCCAAGGTCTTCTCTTACCAAAATGACAGGGTTTTGCCTTTAACGTTTTAGCTATGTTTTAAATCATTTGTGGTAGAGATACTACACTTTTATTTTATCACCAATCCGTGAAATCTGATTGAGAATTCTGAAACACAACTTTGGTTATATGCTTTTTCTTTTTCGTTTTTTAGCCTGTACATATTTCTTTATAGGAGGCTTAATTATATCATTAAATAAAATTAGTGATAAATAAAAGTAACTTTAAACTGAATGTGAGAAGTAACTGTTGTACTCTGTGAAATAAGTACATAGTACGTTTATCTATAACAATACTGCTTTATATAATGCAACAAGGCATCCCGATGGGCTCTAGTACTAGTAATAAAGTTAACCAATGTGATGTGGTGTTTTATTTATTTATTTATTTATTTTACTCTTAACTAACCCTCCAAGTTAGCAAGTACACATCAGTAGATGCACGGTGGACTATTTCTGTTTCCACTTCTCAATCTTTAATTTATTAGTCGCATGATCTTACCTTCCTGAGAGGGATAGTCTGGATCCATTTCGTGGAGTTCACGTCAAAGATGTCGACTGCGTTTTCACTGTACACTGAGAGATACGGGGCGTTGTAGCCTGGGAGAAGGGGAGCAGGTAACAGCAATCGTGGGCTTCAGGATTCATTTTTATGTAAAACTTTAATGAGATAATTACAGACTCACACAGAGTTGTATAAATAATAGAGAGATGTCCCTCGTAAACTCTGCCTAGTGTCCCCCAATGGTAGCATTTTGCAAAACAAGGACACTGATGTTAAATCCATCAAGCTACCTCTCTGAGGCAGATTTTGTCAGTTTACTTTCACTGTGTGCGTGTGTATTGATTTCTGTCCACTTCTATCACCTGCGTAGGCTCTTGTATCCACCACCACAGTCAAAAGGCGAATAATTCCAACACCACAGGAATCCTTCGTGTTGCCCTTTTATAATCAGAACCTCCTCTCCCCATCTCTCTTTAACCCCAACAATCAGTAATCTCTCCTCCATTTCCAAAATTTTGTCACTTCAGAAATATCTTATAAATGCAGTCATGTGGTGTTTATGATTAATTTTATCTGCCTAACCCAAATCAAAAAAAAAAACAAAAAAACAGCCGGGCTCAGTGGCTCAGCCTGTAATCCCATGCCTTTGGAAGGCTGCGGTGAGTGGATTGCCTGAGCCCGCGGGTTCGAGACACGCCTGGGCAACTTGGCGAGACCTCATCTCTACGATAAATCAAAAATCAGCCGGGCGTGGTAGCGCACGCCTGTAGT